AGGAGTGGAGAAGAACACTAGTAAAAGAGTTCTGTTATGTGATCTGAACTGACTTATTCTCTCCGCCATAGGTTGTACCGAAAGCAGCAATTAAAGAGACTGTAACTGAAAAAAAAATAAAAAAGGTTTTGTGGCTCAAAATGCTTGTCGATGTTGTGGTATTAGTTTTAATAGTGTAGTTATGCATGTTAAAGGGACTGTATGTAATCGTTTCATTTTGAATTACATGTACTGTTTTAGCTGTACCCTGGTCAACTTGTGATATTTTATTCCTCATTAAAAACTCATTAAAAAATGTTCATGATATTTATGTTTTAGTCTCTTAATCCCACTGGGTATTTATCAGAGTTTGTTTTTGCCGATGAAGGAGAGTCAAAGGACATTGGTGATGATCCAGGACACTCGACATTTAATAATATTAATGGATATTTATCAATAATTATGAACATCATTCGCCCCTTATGGAGCCTTATGGAACCTACACAGGCACGGGGAGAACATGCAAACTGCGTACTTTGATGTGAGTGGTTGAAGTAGCACGTCATTCAAGATAACGGACAAGTTTTTTTTTCCAATCACGTACAATAATTTGTATTAATTTTTTATGTTTAGTTATTTTGCATGTAATGAGTCATGTATTGGATTTTACATTATAAATTGATATTCTTATTTTTTGAGCTTCATCTACAGAACACACAGACACCATACAACCTCAACACAAAACGGTTTACTCTCACAACCTTCCACCAGCATTTAGAATCCAACCATTTACAAAGACAACATAGAACTTCCCATAATGAACTTAACAAATCCGACAAAGGTTCAGAGAAAGAGCCGTAAGAAGTGCAGAGAGCGCTGGTCTTAAAGGGAAAGCGTGGAAGAGGAGTAATCGCGTGTGTCCGTCCGAGGTCACCACTGGTCTGCAGGTTCTAATTATGTGCTAATAGCCACTGAGGAGGTCATTTGGAGCCATTAGCCAGCGCCTGTAGGTAGTTAACGGCCCACAGCATAACCCGGCCTCCTTAATGTTCCCTGCGAGGCCGTTTGCGCTCTGTCACCAGCCAGCTAGCTGCCTCGTTACCACCATTAGAAACCAATTGATAGGTAATAGTAAAATATGATGGCACACTATTCAGGAAATATGGACTGTTTGAAAGGTGAGGGACAGGAGACACACGGCAGGTCTGTGTGTGAGAGGAGGCATAAGTGTGGCAGGTAACTTTGCACAGTTGGAATATACAGTAGAGTCTTTGATCTTAAGTGTGTCATTGTCATTGATAAATATGAGTGAGATTCATATATACATACAATACACAGTAACCATAACAACAGTCTTCTAACAGATCGTTTGAAGGGATCCGTTGTTAGTTCGGCTATAAGACTTTACAGTATTTGCACTTTGTTACTTCATTAGTTTCGCTAATGATGTTTAGAATTATTACTTATTTATGTTTTTATGGTTTTTGCCAACGGACACTTGAATTTATCCTACGGTGGATCAATGAAGTATCTATCTATCTATACAATAGTACAGTAAGAATAATACATTAAAAATGCAGTGATATAGATCATGTTCATGCCTGCATCCTTAGTTGTTTTGTCAAATAATCCGTCGAGGTTCTGTAGTTGACCAAATGTTGTTATTGATTGTTTAATTTAAATGACTATAACACTTTACATGAAAGTGAGGGCTGGTACTCTCTGATTTAAAGATGTGACAGAAGCCACAGAAACACATGAGTGAAAACTGTTTTGAAAGAAATGTTAAATGGATTTTGTAACTTTTTGTCTGGAAGTTAGCTACTACAGCTTTTTGTTTTAAATACTCCCAATATTTCACAAATTGTTCATGTCCTATTCATATATTTTGAAGCGGTTTATTTCTGAAGCCACAGATGCCGTGGGGCAGACTGATCATTTAGCCGCTTTTCTGAGTATGTCAGGGTGGAAGCATGAGTCGAACCAACTTTTATGTGAAATGTCTCTCTGAAATGGCCTCTATACTGTAGTTAGATTCTACAGTGGGTCTTTACCTGCTTGGTGAGGCCTTTTTTGAACAGATCTAAGATGGGAGACAGCAGGGAATAGGTTCGACAGTGGAGCAGAGCAGCTGTGCAGACTGTATCCTTAGGCAGGACGATTCAGGACAATTCAGGCTCCGTGGTAACAACCGTTCCTGGTGGTCGGCAGATGGCTCCGATTGGCTCTCAACAGTACCTTTCTGAATAAGTGCTATGTAAGACAAACATATTAAACCCTTCACCCTAAAACTTATGTTTGCAGAGAACAAGTAAAAGATCAAGTTTTTATTTTTCATTTACGGATTCTACTGATCAGTAGCTCGTAAAGTTCAGTGTACATTTTATTTTAATTTTTTAGGATGTCATTGCAGTTGCTCACGGTTTTGAGAGATGTTTGCACAGTTGTGGTAACATAAGATAAAGTAAATCTTATGATATGAAATAGGGCTACTGCTCCTCCACAATAATCAATGTTTGAATCCCAACTAGCACAAGCACAAAACAACAACTGTTTTAGACTTAGGACTTGCAGCCGTTTCCAGGCGCATCGTTCAAAAAAAAACAACAAAAAAAACAATTTTAAGCAATTATTACGAAAATTGGTTGAATGAAGAATTTGATTCAATATATAAACATCTTCTCATGTTTTCCATCTCACAAATTGTAGTATAACAAGTTTTCAAGACAAAGATAAATGTTACTTAAACAAGTTGGGACAAGTGCAATGTATTCATGAAACAAAACTAAATTCAGCTCCAGCTCAAATAGCTGAATTGCATTTATTTTTCCCGACATCTGATTGTAATTTTTTAGCTTTTATAAACAAGCCATTCTCACGGTAACACAAATCACCACGCTGCTTTAAATCTCTCATAGTCATGGACAGTACACAAATCAAATCAGCATCAAAACAAGCATATATTGTGGTCCTACTGTGCCGGCCCTTGTTCCGAATCATTTAAGTCAGCTGGTTCCGTTTAAATGTGTCGTATCCCAGACCTTTGATTCATATGATTTCAATTAAAATCACACAGTTATCACTCAAAACCGCAGCACTTCCTGCTCCTCTGCATTCAGGCCTGGGCTAGTCTGATCTGCAGACACGACCATACATCGCTCCCATAAGACACACACTGCAAAAAATGATAAAATATGAGGTCATAATTGCGTAAATCGAGTGGTTTTTCATCTTTATCCGAGTATATTCTGTCTTAAAACACGAATTGCCATTTAGTCTAATTTTAAGAATTTTTCTCTTTCCATGGGAGACATTTGCTGTATTTTTTAAAAACAAGATCATTTTGCTTTGTCCCTATTGGTATATCTCGTTTTAAGGCAGTCAAAATCTGCTCAAATAAGATACATTTTGCCAAATTTGAGTCATTTGCGACTTACTTTTCTTCACTTTTTGCAGTGCACACGTTTTGCCTGTGATGAAACCTCCCGTCCGCCTCTGCTCTAAATATTTGCCCGTGCCAAATTTGTGTAAGGTTTTTTTCTTCTTCTTAATGATCGTGAGCTGACAAACGAGTAGCCTCATTGACCTGGCCACCATACAGCACGCCGCAGCGGTGTCTACGCAAACTTAAATCCTCCAGAGATTGATGCCATCGCCGAAGATGGAAAGGCTCCTGGATCTTATTTAAGCCTCTGTCTCAACTTGAAAGCCAAATGGATACAAATTCTAATGTCGAATTTTTTTCCCCTCAAAGTTTACAGTCACGGAGGGTTCAGAGAATGTTTGAAATTGCGCTCACTCCCTTTTCATTAAAGCAGGATAGTCTGAAAACATTTGTTCATCAAAGGCAGCCTACAAATTAGACTTTGTGAAACTCAATTTGAATGGGAGAAAAGCACTTTTTTTTTCTGAGGGAGAAGCCAAAGTCCCAAGTGTGTGTTTGTGTGTACGCCTGTGTCTATGTATGCGTGTGTTTGTGTATGTGTGTGTGTGTGTGCGTGCTTGAATCTAAACATGACATCTGCTATTAGAGAAATGAAGAAACAGACGACAGACATATGCACTGGTGCTTTTGAGTTTTGGTTCATGAATGTAAAACCGGTTGTGTGTTAGTAAGTGTGCATTAAGACACTCATTGTTCATTGTTGTATATTGATCCAACACTGGGCTATTGTCAGAATTAAAATACCAAAATATAGACTCCACTCTGTTCTCTGCGATATGTAAAAAGTTCACACCAAAATGGAGTTTGACATTAAGAAAATAGTACATATTTAGAGAATCGACAAGGCAGGTTTATTAGTAGGATAAAAAGGGGGCGGGTCGTAGTCTGGGTTATATCTAAAAGTAACTCAATGTCACTTCCTCATTGGGTTCCATTGATCTGGATTTTAAATGATTTTTAAGCACTATATAACAAATCTGAGTTTGTATACGTTCACTTTTTATTCCTTCAAATAATACAAGTATTTCACTGTGATTCAAGCCACTTTCCTGGTTTCTTCTTTTGCATTTGTTCTATTAATGTGTATGATTTATTTGTTTTCATTTCATGTATTTATTTATTTTGAGCTTATGGCAGCATATATTGTTATTTCATCATCAATATTGCTTGAACAGCTGTGGTAAGAAGAAAACTACAACCACTTCTGAAATATTCTAAAATACTACCACAAAAAAACCTCTACACTGTACATGATACTAAAGCAAAGTGGACTCCCCACACGGCCGCCCTAATGCGCTGTCCTCCCGCCTCCATCACCATCATTTATTCTCACTCTCATTAAAAACCTCGCTATCATGTTGCGGTCCTGCTCTTAAGATTGTTTTGTCTATCTGCTAATAGTGGAAATTAGCAGCGCTGCCTCCTGGGGCTGTGAGCGTGTGTGAGCAGGGGCTGGTCCGCGGGCTGGGACCCAGGGCCAGGGCCAGGGCCAGGGCCAGGCCAGGGCCAGAGCCGGTGGAATAACATCTCCATCTCGACACTGAAGCCTCTGTTTTTTTGGAGCGAGGCGTTGGACATGGGCCACGCGAGCACATTCAGGGGCAGGGAGCCGCGGAGCCGTCCTCAGCCTCTGCACGCTGAGCAGGAAGAAGGGGCAAGATGTGACCTTTCTCTGGACGGACAGACAGACGCAGATCTGTGGTAACGTTTTGGAATAGTGTCGCCCCAAATGAATGTGTTAAAAGTATTTTAATTTTTTGTTTCATACGTACATTTTCTGTCCCAACAAACAGTCTTGTTAACGTGTAACATACCTGCATGTGGCCATACCTGCATGTAAAAGCAGATCCTGTCAGATCTCTGAAGCTGAGCAGGGCAGGGCCTGGTTAGTACTGTGATGGGAGACCTCTTGGAACACCAGGTGCCAAAGTGGGGCAGCTGTAAAGTGCCAAACTGTCGCTGTGTCCTGAGGAGACACACTTCCCCCACATTGCAGAATGAGTCTGGGGTGTGTGTGAATTATGGTGGTCATCGGAGGGGTCAATGGCATATACTGGTTGTCTCACTTCTTAAAAATCATATTGGTGCATCTGCATTATAGATGAAAAATGGTTTCAAATCATATTTTTTGAAAGCCGGGTGCAGCTTGTGCTTCACAGCGATAACGTCCTGGGTTCGAGTTCACCTCCAGGCTTTTCTGTGTGGAGTTTTGCGTGTTCTCCCTGCGTCTGCTTATGTTTACTCAGTGTGAGTGCGTGGATCGAGATGGTCAGGGCCCTCGATGTGCCAGTGTGTTCGGCGTCTTGCTTCTGTCATCACCGTGTGGAGGGAACGGTAATCACCCGTACTCCAAAATTGTTAAGTGCTCTGTGTGACCTTGGTCTGTGAATTATTCTACATACATTAGGATTTCTTTCTAACTTAAAAGCATAGAAGATAATGCACAACTATAACAAAACAAGTGTTTTTAATGTGTAATTATACCAAAGGTTTTCATTGGTACTTTATCAAATAAAAGTATTTGGAACATTTGCAAGAACAAGAAAATGAAAACATTCTTAAAGCTGGTACCTAATGTAATCCATCTTGATTTTTTGGTTTCATCAAATATTTCCTCATGCATTTATTTTTGTCACATATTGAGATCAGGTTTTTTTAGACAGAAAAGCAAAAGAGAGAGGCCCACCTCCACTACTACTCCACACCTACTCTCAGCCCAAAGCGTCAAAAAGTGACTCCCAGGGCTCATTCTTACACATATGCAAATGCTAATGCTAATAAGAACATTGACAGCATGTTGCTATGTAGTTTCTATCTTCATAACATTATACTTTTACAAGACACTTTCTGCTATAGGACAAACCATATGTGGCAATGGTGAGGGGGAAAACAAGTTAAACACCCCAGCTTTATATCTTCCTCAGACATTTTAGATTCTCCCTCCTGCCGCCTCACTCCAGCATCACCAGCACTGCCTGTGGAATGCGGCTTCACGCGTATACGTCGGCGCGCGCGTACGGACCGCGCGCTCAAAGTTATTGTTGTAAATTTGCATGCTTAAGTCCATATGGCCACTTCCTTTTGACCTGCTTTCTCATTCCCGCTGCTTTGTGGAGCCTGTCAGCCGATAAAGAATCACTTGACTTGCTATAACAAGTTCAAAAGGAGCTGAGGACGCACGGGTGATCCATGAAGAATCGGCCAAAGGGACACCCCTACTGCTCGCTGCTATCGCTCCCATAGAGATAGTCATATTATTGATGGGGAATGGTTATGCTAATTTCTCTTTTTTATTTTGGAAAGTACTCACAGAAAAAAGGAAGGAGAAGAAGAAGAAGAAGAGACAAATTTCATAGGCATCAAACTGGAGTAAGCATTTAAAGCAATAGCATGAGAATTAGATTTTCATAGTGCATAATGAATGTGGGATATGTCTTCTAAAGAGACAGAGAGAGAGAGAGAGAGAGAGAGAGAGAGAGGAAGAAAGGAGTCATTTAGATTGTCTATCAATGTGCACGCAGGCAAACAAGAGGCTGCGCTTGATGCATCAATGAACCGGCGTTTATTAGAGTTAAAACAGTGGATGAGTATAAATAATAAATAGGTGGTTTTATAGTTCCTTTTTTATTTTTCATGCACGAGTGATCGAAGTTCAAATATATAACCCTATTTGAACTGCAGCATTTCAGATTCATGCTGTTCAAATCTGGAACAGTCTTCCTGAAAATGTGAGACAGGCTTCTACTCTGACCATGTTCACATCTAGGTAAAAAACAAAAAAGTGTTTAGCTGCAAACAACTGAAGGATTTTATCTTCACTGTTTTAAATGTTCTGTAATTGTGTATGATTTTACTGCCTCCATTGTTTCTGTCATGTTTTGTTCAGCACTTTGAGTTGCCTTGTGTATGATCTGTGCTATACAAATAAGCTTGCCTTGCCTTGTCTTGTCTAGCATCTCAATGTAATTCACTTAAAGCTGGGGGTATGTAACTGTTTTGTTTCATGGATAATACATATTCGTGCCAACAAAAAGAGTCTTACGTGATGTTGTGACCACATCAGACTCCAGCATCTGATTAGAACACATATTATCATTTGCTACTTGTAAGAAACAGACTTGCGAGGCACTTTTTGACGCTGAGAGCTGATTGGTTAAGTGACGGCGGCAATCTCTTTTTCACGTTCCTGTCTGAAAAAGCTGAACTAAAAGATGTGACCAAACATACACATGCGTGGGAAAACTAATGATAGAACCAGATGTTTTAACTGGATTTTATACTTTTTTTGTCCAATCCGATCCACTTTATTTCTATAGCATATTTTATAAAAACAAGTTTCCATAGTGCTGCATGTCGAGATAAAAGTTGCACATTTAAATATACAGGTTTGCCAGCATTATATACGGTGTAAAGGTTAGGTACCACCGCTGTAAAAATTGTCTGTAAAAGTGATGGGTAAAAAGTTGCAAAGTGTAAAAATGTTGTCGAGAGATAGGACGGAAAGTACTGATTAAAATCTGGCCTTTTGGGGGAAAAGTGTCTCGACCACCCAGAAGCAAAGTTTTAAGTTAATGTGGATAATACTGAAGAAAAACCAAGATTGGGATGAAATTACCCGCTTTTTTACCTAAACGTTTAAAAAAGATTAAATGTCAGATTGTGTGTATGCTTCAGAGACTACAGCGTGTTGCACTTGATCATTGTATCACAAACTCTGTGACTTCTGTGATGAAAACTGTGGTGATGTTTATAATAATATGTCACGGTAAAACTCCCCGTAACAAAGTGAAAACTGAGCAGCACCGTTTGTTTTCATCTGTGCCAAAATGCCTGCGTTATTTCGTCAGATTGTCCTTGTATCAGCAAAGTTCTGTTCCTTGTATGACAGGACAGCCTCGTTTTGCATAAACACATTTGTATTTCATAGTAAGAAAGATACATACATTTTTTTAAGCATTTACTGAAACTTTACCGATAATTTGTTCTAAAAGTGTGTTTAGGAGCAAAACAAAACCTTGCACTAACTTTTCTCAACACAAATGATGTCTCCTCTTTGAGTTGAAATGATGTGTTTGTCAAGTTGTCTAAATATAGGTCACAAATGTCAAAAGTCCCTTTAGTCAAATGTTTGTACCTATAAGTTCTGTACCGTGCATTGCAACACTCACATTTCCTCACAGTGACACACAAGAGGGTTCCTTATCTGATGTCTTTACAACCATAAAGCTGGGCTACCTAACTTTATGGATTTGTGAATAGCACATATAGATTGTCCCCAACAGGGTCTTGTAAAAGTATAATGTTTAGACCACAATATACTGTATTAATCTTTTTTTATATTTTGTTTGTATATATATATATATTACATTTTTGTGCATATTTAAGCTACATGAGTGAGAAAGTGCCCTGGAAGTCACTATTTGACACTTTGGGCTGAGAGCTGATTGGTTGAGCGAGAAACGAGAAAGAGAAATTTATTTTTATTATAGTAAATTTGAAATAGTGATTTGAAACTTAGTCAAATGTGCTCAGATAGTCTTTCAAACACACACGAGGAAATCTCAATTGCATGAAAAAAGGTTGAATAATGCAATACCAAAGATACTAAATAGCTCAAACATGTGAGTGAATTAAATTGTCTTATGACTTTTTTCTTTAACAAAAAAAAGAAGAAGATATTAATCGTATTACAAAACAGTTATATGAAGAAACACAATTGGCAGATGGGAGCGTCATGTGCTCTGGGTCAGACCGGTGACCACTGCCCCTCCCTCACCCCTCCCTCTCCCCTCCCTCTCCCTCTCCCCTATGACACATACAGCATGGCACAAGTGGCAAGTGCACAGGACGCAGGCTGGTGTGCAGGAAGAGCGAGGCAGAGGGAGAAGAAAGTGGGAGGGGGCTATTATATGAATATGACCCCGAGATATTCCATTGTGGGCCCATGTCCGGTTCTCGGGGCATTTGATACACATCTCAGTGAGTGGCATCAATGCGCCGCGCTCTCGGTTCGACATTTTGAATAATCGCAGGGCTGTTTGCCGTCATGCTGCCACTAGCTGTCAGCACCAGCGCTTTCCCCCCTCTGTCTGTCTCCGTGCGTGTGTGTGCGGGTGCGTGTGCATGTGCGCGCCTGCCTGCCTGTCCATCACTATCATCCTCTCCTCGTGCTCTTACATTATAGCAAACAAGTTGGCCATGCAAAAGAGCACTTGATACTTTTTTTATTATGACCAAACCCTTCCCATAATTACCCCATAATCATTATATAATCCTATAACAAAGCCCCCATTGAAGCCGTGTCTTTTGTCAAGCCTGGGACACTGAATCTATAATTGCATTATTCAGTCTCTTCCACCCCCTATAGAAGCATAATATAACAAAACCATCCGACAAGAGTGCATTTTAGTTGCACCCTCCGTCCTGCTAATGCGGGACCGCGATCCTCCTTTTTTTTGGTCGTGTGTGTATCTCTTTTTACGCTTCACAAAAGTTGTGCCAACTTCAAGTTCAGAGCTCCTGCAGCTGGAAATAACCACAAAAACCCATAAAGCAATCTCTCCTGGCTGCCTCCTTTAGCGCGGGCTCCAAACAATCTTCAGAGAGGTGTGTAGCTTTATTGATATATCTCATTCGCAAATAATTATTCTCTTTTTTATAATGCGCTCCGAGGCAAAGGAATAAATCGGTAATTCATAGTGGAAAAAAAGGCAAAAAGCGAGTCCCCGAGGAGCGCTTGTGCGTCTGTATGCGCGGGGATCGGCTACACAACGGCGCTTATTTACATTAAATACGCCACAAGGTTACAGTGCAGATAGATGAGCGTCATTTTTATCACTCATTACTTCTCTTAAGCGCTGACTGCCGCTCAGGACGCGCAGGAGGCAACACACACATCTATCCTGGAGTTTTTTCCAAGACGAGAAGAGAAGAGAACACACAACAGACACTTTACTTTTAAAGGTAAGCTTTTTGCACTTTTTGGGACTGCTTTTGTGACACGTTCTGCCGCTGTTGTACACACACACCACAGCAGAAGTGGGGCATGCTTTCTCCTCTTACGCGCGACTGTGTCTTGAGCTGGAGATCGTTAGTGCTGTGATGATGGCTTTAGTAACGGGACACGTCTTTACAATTAAACACTTGCATTTATAGTCGCTCAGAGGTCACAAAACAACAACGGGTGTTTAAGAGCAGCGCTGTTTTCCTGTCTGTAAAGTGCTTATTTCCGAGCGCGCATGCAAGAGAGGTTATCCCACGTATACTCCTCGCTGCACACGCGTTCACCGCTGGGGTTCATCATCATCATCAGCTGCCTGTTTTACCCCCAGCCTCACACCGCTCTCACTGGGGCTGCGAATCCAGGCTCTCTCCACCACCAGACCGCCTCTATTTTTTTTCTAGGGGAGCAAGCCTCGTTTCTTCAGCCGGGACACAACCGCGCGCTTCCCCCTTGAATAGAAAGATAACGAGGAGACTGTAGACTGCTGATGCGTGTAACCCGGTGGCACCAAGGGCTGATACCTTTTTTTATTTATTTGAAGCGACTGCATGGGGAGAAACAGAAGGGGTAGAGGAAGAAGTGGCTGATGCGCTTATGGGGCTTGGGATGTGTATAGTTGCGAAGGACAGCGTGTAGAAAAGAAGAAGGAGAAGAAGAAGGAGCAGCGCTGGTGGAGGGTTTCACGAACAGGTCCTGAAGTCAAGGCGCACTTTTCAACACCCCTCCCGTCATCCAGCTACCAGCGCGATCCCCTCAAATCACACAGACGGACATGCTTCATTATTCAAACAGCACTCGCGACGCGGCAGCTTTTACGCACAGGACTTAACGATTACGCGTGGTTGTTGGGAGAGAAAAAAAAGGTAAGAAGTAATAGTTTTGGATTCTAACTGCGGGTGTTACAGCGGCATAGAGTTTGCGTGGAAAGTGACTTTTGTTTGGCTTGTTTGTGCCTAGAGCAGCATCGCAGCGGGGGGATCTTCGCGTCTCCCCAATCATGATTAGAAAATAACAGTGCAATTATCCTAAGCGAGTGTCGAGCGTCAAAAACAAGGTCCTATAAACAGCAGCTGGGAACGCGCGACCTACACTCCGGACCGGGTTGTACTGAAAGACACGTTTTTAATTTCATTCACAATTAACACTGTTTTTTTTTTTTTTTTTTTTGCTTCGTGCGTAAAGAGGCATCTCGCTGAACGGACCCACACACACACACACAAGTACACACACACATACAGACTGACAGACACATACAATCCATGAGGGAAAGTGGAGCGACTTTGCTTTTGGGGAAAACTTTTTTTAAATAACATATCCAGCTGCAACTTAACTGAACAAGGGAAAAGTTTCAAGGCTTTATGTGTCCAAACTTGGGAGATAGAAGGTGAAGACGACTCACAGAGACCTGCCATTTTGTGCAGTGATCGACCCCTGTAATAAGCTGCCTCTGCATTATGCTTTGAGGAGTGACAGTCAGACATATATGGACGCGTCGCCTCTTTCCTTGTCTCTTTTTGCGAAGCCCCGCGGTACTAACTCGACTTGTGTGTTCATACGCAGTCTTAAGAGAAAGTTGAAGCAATTTGTGGCACGCGTAGCTGCCTGGAAATATAAAATTAGGTTGTGCGTAATAATCTCCTCTTTACTTCAAAGCGTGTGTGTGCTTGTGCGTTTTTAAGTCAACAATTGCACTTGTTCTTATTCAACTCTCCACAAAACTTTCTCGTATCCCCCCCCCAAAAAAAGCGCCTTTCCTTTTCTCGTTTCGTCCTGAACTATTCCAGCACTGAATCATTAGCAATACGAGGCTTGTAATCGCATTTGCAGCCTGTGTGTGAGACGCGCGCCTTGGGTGGGGAGGACCTTTCCTTGGAATTGACCCCTGGGTGCTCTGACCTGGCTTGTCCACACGGTCACTTGTAACGGCGTGTACACTGCCACGCGCGTCAACTCATGCAAACAAGAAAATACCTATTATAACTAATACGCGCAGTTTCTCCAAAAGTTAACCCCAGAAAGAGAGACCTGGGATAACCACATCTTTGTCCCTCTCACATGCAGCCACCGCGGGTTCACTTTAATATGAATAAAAGAAGTTGTGCAGGAGGCGGATATAGTGTCTGAAATATTGTCTGGGCGTAAACCAGTTTTGTCAGCCTTATTGCAGATGAAATGGTAATAGATAAGTGTCTTAGGCTTCACTCAGAGCTGGGACTTGCATGCATGCGCGCCCTTCCACTAAAACTGCTACAACTTGCAAATGTTGTCATTCTTCAGCGATGATAAAAATGAGGAAAGCAGTAAAAGAGAAAGTGTTCCCACAGTCTTATGTTTAGTGAATTTCAACAGGCCTTCAATGTCTAATTTTTTAACACAATATGTATATGCAAAAATATAATGAGAGTGTTTTGGCATTTTGCTGCATGCTATTTGTCATGTTTGAATATGAAACGCCACTCACTAATGATGATACTATTAATTGTCTTTACAAATAACATTCTCGGTAAAAAATCCCCACATGTTAATTATCATTTATTAATTATGCCAGGCTCCAGTAGATGAATGTGCTCGGGTATTGGAGATGCTTTTATTTGGAGGCTGCAGCGAACACATAAGATTTGTGAGTGCATTTTCCATAATGGCTGCTGATCTCCCACCTGTGCAGTTGTCAGCGTTGCTAAAGGGTCTATGGGCCATGACTGACTAGACGCCAATGCACATTTTGACTGAGAAAAAAAACGATACATACAAATTGGATTATAGAAAAAGAGAAAGAAAAAAGAAGGAGAAATGGCAGGAGAGGTTGGCAAGTCACTGAGCTGTCTGTCAATTTGCTGTGATGGCTTGTCAGGCAGCACAGGTGGGCTTATGCTGAATTGTGATCGGAACAAATTTAACTTGAAATAACGATTTTTCTAGTAGTAAAGGAGAAAAAGGCGAGAGCTTTTGCTGCGGCGGGTGCGGATGTGTCTTCAAAACTAAATGGGAGACTATTGCAGATGAGATGAGGCAACTTAACCTCTGCCAATATCGTTTCACATGTTGTATTTTAGCGAAGCGGACGGATCAATTTGAAATCGTATCAAAAGTAGAGCGTTGTTTTTCTACTATTCTCTGCAAAGAATCATTTTTGAAGGCATGTTGTCAGGGGCGATAGATGCTGCTTGTCGTATCATGTCTTGTTGTTTGATTTTCCCAATGTGTCCACATACAATTAAAGTGAGTGTAAAAAAAAACATTGCATTCCAAATCTTCAAAAAACATCCTTGAACATTGGATCAAAACCTCACTTATACATGGGCACAAAACATTTTGATTGGTGGAGATTTTGTGAATTCTGAAGCAAATGCATATGAATCAATAGCTGCAAGACAGTACATTCATTTGATTGTGCATTTATGGTATCGCTTAAATGCAATTCTTATCAGTTCTTATCAGATTTTGCCGGACTTTCTAAACGTCCAGTGGGTCGTGCAGGCGGTCCTCAAACACGCACACATATGTATACGTTTGGTGTCGGAGCAGTAAACGGGAGCGGATTGTTGGACTTGTGTGGCTGGTGGCTGATTCCCCTCTCGTGTAATTATAGGGGCGAGGGCTCCAGCTGTACAGCCTGTGCGGAGGCCAGTGCTCCCCTCTCCTCTGGGACCCGGGCGGCGGTGGGCAGGCCAGATCAGGGCCGGCTCCGCTCATCATCCAGCCATTAATTGATATGTGCAGTCATTGTGAAAGCTCTCCCCATCCCCATCCCCCCCTCGGGCTGCTGTGGTGTTGTGTACCTATACTGGGGGATATACCGAATGGAATAGGGGGGAGAGGAAGCAGGTGGTGCAAAGTTTTTTTTTTTGGTTTTTCATTTGCGGGTTTTATTCGTATGTAATGTATCTGTGCTGTTGAGTTTGGATCAAATGATAGCCTCTCTACAGCGCCCTCTTTAAGTGAACATGCAGATCTATCACTCACACTTACCGCTAATGTTTAACAATGATATGAATGAAAACAAAAAGTATATTTAGATGATTATTGCATATTTGTTAACATTTCTACATGGACAGACAGGTGAGAATTGGCCGGGCACTTTTAGCAATCCCTCCAAACATCTGAAGATCTTTCTTTTGCTTCTTTTTTTTAGCTCGAGGGGAAAAAAACAGTTAAAAAGCCAGTCCTAATGTTAGTGACAGACTGTGATTGACATTGACTGTATCACGTGGCTTCACATATGCAAGAGTATGATCAAGAATCTCATTTGAAAACAGTACATTTCTGATCAAAATTTTCCAAAGAAATCATGAACCCTTTTTGTCAAACTCCTAATTAACACATTGATCACATTTCGTGGCCCACCGCTGCCTTTTCAGACCCACTGGGCAGGGGACGCAGGGCGGTATTGCTTTGTATTGAGTCTGCTGGTATTTCTGTCATTTCTATTGCGCTCTATGGGGGCTCCGTCAGCGGCGAGTGTGAACAGGCGTCAGTCCACTTTGAGACTTGCGGCGCGGTGACCCTGCGATCCGGGGCAGGGGAGATGGAAGTGTGTGTGTGTGTATGTGTGTGTGAGAGAGAGAGTGAGAGAGAGGGAGAGAGAGAGGACAAGAGGGAGATTGCATAGTGGAAGTCAATTCTGCCTTGTAGTCTGTGGGATCACACAGACAATAGCTCAACTGATGATTTCTCATATCAACTCATGTGTAGCGTTGTTAAAACATAAGAAAATTACAGAAGTTGAAATTGTGAGTTGGATCAATATGTATTTATGAAGTTTTTTGACATAAAAAAGTGGCATATTTTGTGTATGCAACGGGGATAGCAATTCCTAGAGGTGGATTTGAACATACTTTACATCCAGCATTAGGCATACCTTTTCAAACCATACACATCAAGTTCAAATTGTCTATGGGAAAAAAAATACAACAACTTATAACTAGACGGAAACATTGTTCATTGTGTGTAATCCTATTCAGCCTGCGTATTCAAATTTTATTATATTTTCCCATTATTCCCATCATTTCATGCTTTCACTCTTATGTCTACCGTCTAATACACTGATTGCAATTCCAACGGGCTTCTATGCATTCCTATATTCTTGTAAAAAATTGCATTTGATTCCCTATGTGTCAAGTTCAATCTGCGGGATTCAAATTGCATAATCCTGGACTTGACAAATTCACCCAAAAAGTTACAACGTGTCTAATGCAATTCGATTATAGCACATTAAACAAAAAATCTTCAAAACTATACTCTCATTTTTATCCTCTTACAATCATACACCCCCCTCCTCTTCTTCCCCCTCTCTCTCTCTCTCTCTCTCTCTCTCTCTCTCTCTCTCTCTCTCTCTCTCCATTGCTGTGTCACCCAACGTCCAAAAGCGTTCACACCGCGCTGCTATAGTGATTTACGTTCCTGCGGTGATAAATGGAAAGAGACACATGTGACCTTAAACTTTTATGAAGTTAGCTCGGCTGCCCTTTGCTCGTGATTAGAACCTCTCTTTTTTTTTCTTTTTTTTTAGGGCGTGATTCCGGAAAATGAATTTGTAAACGTCTAATAATCTCCCCTCCTCCATCGTCCTTCATTTTGAGCCGCCCACGTCTTCTGTCCGTTTTTATTTAACTTAACCAAGTGTTCTTTGAAACATGGAGCCGGAGATGAAAAGAAAGTGCTTCAAGTCCTGACGCCATTATCGGATCGCATAAAAAGCAGACGGGAGACGTGGAAGACGGCATTAGACAGGAATGAATGTACTGTCAATTAAAATCAAAGCAGCCCAATGATGTTGTTTAAACAAGTTATTGTTTAAAGGGTTTCTCAAGCTGGGGTGCGAGGATCTCCGGGGAGTGTTTTTTCATTGGGGGGTGTGGGGAAGTGAAAATACATGAGGTAGAGGAGAAGAATTTTTGGATTTTGGATTCAAGGATTGTTTTAGTCTAGCCCGAACTCTAGTGCTTTCAAGTTTTTATTCATCTGCAGTGGTTGAAGTTGCATAAATGTGACAATAGTATAGATAATCCTTCATAAATTTACTTTATGAGTAGAACTAAAAGTATTGCAAACTGATGGAACACATTTATTTTATGAACTAATTTTGAAGAATTTTGCAGAAGTTACCCACATTCCGTTATCAGCGTTTCGGAGACTTTCAAACAAAAAGTTTTCTCAGTAAAACCATATTCAGTTTGAAATTTGAATTTATATTTTAAAAAAATCTGCATAGAACCAAAATTTCACTCTAAATGCTTCAATCCAGTACTTTTAATTTGGCACTCTTTAACATAGTTATCAACATTTCTCATATTTACATGTGAGTGTAGTCCTCCAGACTGGCAGAATGAAAGTCATATTGCAATAATAATAATAATTTATGTTTACTTGTTTTAAGTACTTCACATGCACTGAAACAAAAAGAGAACTGAGAACAACACACATAAGTCACTGTCAAACACGTTTTAAAATCTTTCTTAAAATCACAAATGTAACTTTACTTTACTCCTCTACTTCAATCTTTCCGGTGGCTTCTTCCTGTAGGTGTCTGTATGTACGCAAGAGCCACGAGTGAATGATAAGACGTGGCGTGGGGTGGAGAGGTGGTGATGGAAGAGGGGGAGAGAGAAAGACAAAGAGAGAGAGAAAGAGAAAGAGAGAGAGAGAGAGAAAGCCGCCATGAGTTTTGATCCAAGAATAAAGCCTGTGCATGGGGCAAGCGGACGTGTCGCTGATGGATGGACGGGCAGGACGGCCGGTTCTCAGGCCGGGGTGCCATCACGGAGCGTCTGTCTGTCTGGGCGAGGGGGGTGCAGGGGGGAGAGGGGGGATAGGGGGAAGAGGGGAGGGGGTCTAAAAGGTGTATGGAGGAAACCTGAGGATTATATGAGAGAATACAGCATTGCTTTATAGTTTTATTTCATCCTTAACAGTCAATGTGATGCTTTTCTACACTTCTATGTCATCGTGTTTATGAAATGAACTCATTGATTATTATTTTATTTATGTATACTTCTTATCTATGTTCAATTTCACATTATTATGTATTTATTTTGGTACTTATCATGTATTTATATATATACATTTGTCTTTAAGTATCTTGCTTTGGTTATGTTTGGTAACTCGATCCTAGACTGGTCCTAGACTGGTCCTGGGCTGGTCCTGGCTTGGTCCTATAGAAAGAAGGCTGTTGCATATTTTGCATCTGTTTGAAATGTTTTGCGTTTGAGAATTTACATTTTTAAAACTTTTGTCACATTGGACACTATTGTTTCCCAAAATACACACCATTTTTCATATACTAGACTTGTTTTAGACTCTGCCTGTGGGGTAAGGAAAGGGATAACTATTTCCAAAGAAGAAAAGGAGGATTTCTTTCCCCACTGGCAAATAACTGAAACTGAAATGAGAAAAAAAAGTCTTAATATTCAACTTGTCAAAACTACTCACCTCAAGTTTTTCCCCCGATTTCAAGCCAATTTTAACTTTTGGAATTTTCCTTTTATTATTTTATTTGTTTTCACATTGTATTTATATGTTAAGGGGAGGCATATTTGGCATCTGCAAATCTAACCGCCTACTTTTTATTGCCATTATTTTTAAAAAGAGGTTTGTTTTTCTGTTTCATGTCACCCCTGGTTTCAATGCAATGCAAAAACAATGGCCTTTAACTACAGTATAATGTGAGTGCGTATGTCTTACAGATGCCATGCCAACTTCTGTAACCTTGTAGGCAGCAGGTGGACACATGTGGGAGGAACTTTATGAACACATCATCCTTGAAAACGCACTATCTATCCAAACCTGTGCTAGTTTACAGCTCAAAATTCACAAGTTTTAGTTTTTGGCCTCTGTCACATCTTTTGTTTTGTTTGTTTTAGAAAGAACAGTGAAAAAGACCAATCAGCTTTCAGCCTAGAAAGCATCAGATAGTGCCTCACTGGGCTATTTCTTACAAGTATGACAAATTATAGTGTTTACTCCCAAGATTTGTTCACATAAAGTTACTTAAACAATACTTGCCGATGCAGGAGGGTCTGTTAGACTCTTAGAGGGTCTGACTAAAAGAACTGTGGGGATGATCCAGGACACACGACAACATGTATGGACATTTATCAACACTTATGGACATTGGTCAACTCCCCCCTACGGACCAATACCTATATGTTCTCTCTTCTTTGCGTTGGAACAGCTTGATTGTCCGGTCTGTGTTAGCAATTTCAACGGTTTTGTAAAGTCCTCTGAGATAGCTACTTTTCTGATTTAGGGCTATACAAGAATGCTTTGAATTGAATCACTCTTTCTGTGGGAACAAGCAAAACGTAGAGAGTTTTTCACCTTTAACCCGGCAGAGAAAAACCTAAAGTCTCCCCTCATTGTTTACCCCTACCTCTTTCACCACACCTCTCATGTATGCATCGATTTCACATATTCATTCATTTCCACAGAACTTCGTTAGCATTTTAGATTCTCGGATGCTCTGTCAGTAGCCTTCTCCTTTCCCTTTGACGGCTCCGAACCGCGATGCGTGTCATTTCCTCAGACAACAGCTTAGCGCAAACAGGCGAGCACACATCAATCAGAGGGTCTAGGAAGCGGAGAAGTGTTCGCTGCTTAACATTCTGACGCACTGTGCTAAGACACTGGTAAATACTGCCGACGAGAAAGGAGACCGTCTGGGTGCGGATTCCTGCTTTGACCCCTCGCAATCTTCTGCCGCTTTGGTGTT